GGTAGACTTTGGCCACAGTGCCTGTGCCAGCTCCAAGCCTGCCAGCCCAGAGCCAGCAGTGGCCACCGGGGCCCCTGATCCAGTAGCCCCAAAACATGAGCCAGCAAGCCACTGGCAGCCAGCCCTCCACTGCTCCCCAGGAGCAGTCTGCCAGCTCCCAGGAGCCTGGCAGGGGCTGGAGAAGGTGGGCGCCTTCCTGGTCCAGGGTGGAGATCATGGACCTTATTCAGAGTTAGGGGGGATGCCCCCAATGTCCATGATCTCTGCACTAGATGGAAGAATGGTGGCCAGCCTGGCAGCTATCCTGCCATAGATGGCCACAAAGGCCACATGTGAACCCAGGAGCAGGTTTGCATGAAAATCAAGTTGGTCCGGCGAGACCCCCAACCCTGGGCCCTGAGCTTCCCCTCCCCCTTCTTCCCCTTGCTTCCCCCTTCCAGCTCCCTCCTCCAAAGTTTCCCTCTCCCACCCTTTCTCTTCCCCTCTCCCACCTCCAAGTGGCTGGCAGGAGCAGGTGGCCAGTAGGGCGGCTGGCAGGAGTAGCAGCAAGTGACCAAGGAAGTGGGTGAGATGTTTCCTATCACCACTGCCTAAGGATGGGAGATGAGCTCAGCCGATCACCTCTGAGCTCTGGTCTGCTCTGACCAAGGGCAGTGACCATGAGTGGAGTACGGAGAAAATTTGGGCGTGTGAGTGGGTCACCTACATTGCTGGACTTGTGAGCCTGAGAGGCAAAGGACACTGCTCAACCTGCTTGAGCAGGGATGTTCACTCCTGGGCAGCTGTAGAGGGCTGGCTGCCAGTGGCTTGCAGGCTCATGTTTTGGGGCCACTGGGTCAGGGGCAGTCTTGCAGAGTGGGAGAGGGAGAGAAGTGTTCTTGGTTGAGGCTGGAATGGCCACCGGGGCACCCTGGGAAGGCTGGAGGCCCCCTAGTTTGAAATAAGTGTCTACACAGCACTTATTTTGAAATAGCCATTTCGAATTTGGCCTGGAATAAGGTTTACGAAATTCGAAGTAAGCGGTCCGCTATTTTGACTTAATTTCAAAATAACGATTTGGCTGTGTAGATGCTAGTAAAGTTATTTTGAAATAACAGCTGTCATTTCGAAATAACTTTGCTGTGTAGACATACCCTAAGAGAGACAAGGTATAGAGCATGCTGTCAGAAATCTTAAAAGAACAACACTTTGATATGGAAACTACAGAACTCGAACCCTCAGAAAAGAAAATCAACCTTCTGCTGATGGCATCTGACTTAGATGGTGAAATGAACATTAATTAGTCCCCACTGCTTTGGACTGTTATTGAGCAGAACCCGTCTCCGCATGGACAAATCTCCTCTGGAATGATGGTTGAAGCATGAAAGGACACACAAATCCTTAGAGCATCTGGCACGTAAATACCTTGCAATGCCGGCTACAGAAGTGCCATGCGAACACCTGTTCTCACTTTCAAGTGACATTGTAAATAAAAAGGGTCAACATTATCTCCTGCAAACGTAAACAAACACGTTTGTCTATGCATTTGACTAAACAAAAAGTAGGACTGAGTGGACTTCTAGCCTCTACGGTTTTACATAGTTTTAGTTTGTACAAAATTCTACATTTGTAACTTGAATTTTCTTGGCCAAAAGATTGCATTACAGTACTTGCAATGGGAGAAATTGATTTATTTACTTTTACAGTACAAATATTTGTAATCAAAAATAAAGTGAGCACTCTCTGAATACGTAGGAAACATCCAAAAATATTTAAATCAAGGATATTCTATTATTGTTTAACAGTGCAATTAATCAGATGATCTATCACGATGATTAATTATATGATTAGTCATGAAGGCATGCAAAGGAAGGATGGCTCTGTGTCCACGCACAATATGATTAGTCATGAAGGCATGCAAAGGAAGGGTGGCTCTATGTCCGCGCACGGTCGATGTGGACACTCAGTGCAGATCAGTGTGTGAAGAACAATAAATGAACTTACCGGCCTTTCCCTTCTTATTTTCCAGCCTTTCTTCCAAAATACATACTACCCCTTGCATTGTCCTGTCTTCACACCTCCGTGGCTGGCTATGCCTGGGCACACACACACACACACAGACGTACACAACTAGTGGGGTTGTCTTTGGGAACATGCCGGCCAATGCTGGCGGAATTCCCACCTTCAAATTCCAGTCCCGCCGAGACAGAGATGGTTCAGTGCCATTGACATGACTGGAGGCGGTTCAGTGCCATTGACGTGGAGCGGGTGGCCCGGGAGCTGGACGTGACCACGCTCCAGGAGAACATTGTCGGCGTCACCTTCTGTAACCTGGACTCTGAAAAGTGCCCGCACTGCCAGCAGCCCATAGACCCAGTTCTCCTGAAGGTCCTGAAGATGGCGCAGCTGACCATCGAGTACTTGCTGCACTCGCAGGAGTACCTGAGCGCCAGCGTGGCGCTGCAGGAGGAGCATCTGCGGATGGCCCAGGAGGAGCTGAAGCGCACCAGGCAGGAGCTGGACAAGCAGGCGGAGGAGCTGAAGGGGGTAAAGGAGGAGAGCCGGAGGCGGAAGAAGATGATTGCCACCCAACAACTCCTCCTGCAGGCTGGGACCAATAACTACCACAAGGTGAGCTCCAGGCAGAGGACAAAAATAGCCTCCCAGCCTAGATTGTTCTGGGGAAAGGGGGGAGTGAGGGGAAGGAGCCTTTTCCCCACTCACTTCAGCAACCCTGGCAACTTGGTCCCTTGCTGCTGTGCCCTACTCCTGGCGCTAGGGGGAAAACGTCCCCGTTATGCCCTCATCCATCCTGTGTGAGACATGCGCTTACGTTCTTGGCTGTGTCATAGCCCTAGTGGCTCGTGCGCTCACCCAGGTGCTGGGAGACCTTGGTCAAGCCCCTCTGCCCATTGAGGATAAAGGATGTGACGTCTCAGGTGAGCCCCCTGAACGACGGGGCCGTGGGATGCTCCAGATGGGTCTCTCCCAGGCTCTCCTGTTGGAGCCATTTCTCTTTCACTAAACATCAGTTGGGCCTGAGCCAGTGCGAATGGATTTCTAGCCCTGGGGCTGGAGAAGCCCCTAGCAGGTGGCAGATCCCTGGTCAGCTCCCTTCTCCCCAACCAGAGGAGGGTTCTGAGCGGAGGTCCCCCACATTTGGGGGGAGGGCTCTTTACTACTGTCTACTTCCTCCCCCTTCCAGTGGGCCAGGGAGGCACCAGTGGAGTCAGTAGGGCAGCAGGGTCTGCAGGAGGTGGGGGGCTGGCTGGGAGGCCGATGGGCCAGGCCGGGTCTGGGGGTGGAGATTGTGGGTGGGGAGCCAGAAACGACCTCCCCTGGTCCAGCAAAATCCTTTATCTGGGACCGGTCAGGTCCTGAGGGGGACCAGGGAGATCTAGCCTGTATTTGGTTTACCACAATCTGTGAGCTGCTAGTCAAACATTCATCCAGTGGCCTTTTACTTCCTGTAGATTTAGAAATCACGTATTAAAAGCATCGTCTGTCAGACTGACAGAGTATGGAATTTGGACTGAGTGGAGGCTCAGCCTTCGGTACCTCTGGGTAAGTAACGTTTTCTTTTGAACAATTTGTTTAACAATATATATGCAGCTTAATTTCCTGGCTTTGAACACCCTGCTTTTGGTGGATGTTTTCCTTTCCCCTCTTTACCCACAATTCCTTAGCTATTTGTGATTCTTGTAAGTCCAGAAAACTGTGGTTTGTGTTGTTCATTACATTAAACATAGGATCATAGAACACTAGAACTGGAAGAGACCTCATGAGGTCATCGAGTCCAGTCCCCTGCCCTCATGGAAGGACCAAGCACCATCTAGATCAGTGTTTCTCAACCTTTTTCTAAATGAAATACTCCTTTAAAAAAAATTACCTACCCCCTTTTTTTAAAAACAATTTGTAAGTACCCCAAGTACCTATAAGTTTTCAGATGCACAATTTTTTTTCCTACCATTGCAACACATTTGTTTAAACAACTTAATCGTAGCTGGGCGGGTGATGAAATTTTTGGGTGCAAAAAGTACCAAAATAAGAAAGCGTTGTAAAACTTAAAACAAAAACTCAGTTTTCTTCAAATTTCAGTTGGTTTGATGTACCCCCCAGACTTCCCTCGAGTACCCATAAGGGTTCTCGTACCACTGGTTGAGAAACACTGATCTAGATCATCCCTCACAGGTATCTATCCAAACTTCTCTTAAATATCTC